ACAATTTACTAGTTTTTATATTTATGATAATTTGAAATGCTTACATGCTACAAAGATATTTTCAGAAATGTGACAATCAGGTTTGTTATTTCCTATTATCTGTTTTGTTTCTCCTCTTCCTCTCTGCCAGTTCTTACGTTTCATGGGGATAACATTGATTTGCACTGTCAAGTGTTCCCTGTAGCACATCCTGAATAAGAAAGTAATCATTTACACTCTGTAAAACCATGAAAATGTACCAAACTAATGCCTTTAACTAGAAAAATAACTGAGTTTTTGATGCAATTCATATTGTACTGGTCTAGATTTTCTTCATTTACTTAAATAAATATTTTTGAATATTTTTCTATTTTTGAAAACGAGAGTAAATTATCTGGCACTGAAGAGAGTCTTTTCAGTTAGTAAGTAGAAACATTTCAGTACTTTGGTTGTTGGCTTACTTTGACACTTTATTTGCAAGCATTTGATCTGTAGGTGTTTTTCATGTTACATTGGTGATTTACATGAGGTTTGTAGTTACCTTTCACTTCAGCTGGGAGTAGACATCTCTGCCTGCATTTTTATCTCAGCATATGCACTTTCTTCCCCCCCAGTACAAACTTTATTAAAAAGAAGAATACTGGACTGTACATTTACCTTGTTTACTCATCTCCCTGAGCTGGAAGGCAGGGATAGGGAGCAAAATGAAGCCCACATTATCCATGAGGGAATGGTCAGTGACCTGCTATACCATTTAGAGACTCACAAGTCCATGGGACTGGATGATGGGATCCACCCAAGGGCACAGAGGGAGCTGGTGGAAGAGCTCATGAGCTACTTTCAATCATAAACCAACAGTCCCAGCAAACTGAAGTTAACTGAAGGTTGGCAGATGTGACACACATATATAAGAGGGTCAGAAGGAGGATCCAGGGAATTGCAGGCCTGTCAGCCTAGCCTCAGTGAAAGTCGTGGAGCAGATCATCTTGAGTGCCATCACACAACAGGTACAGGACAAACAGGG